CCGCGCTCTGATTGGCTGCGGCGGGACGTGGCCCCGCCCCCCCCCCGGCGCTCGGCGGAGCTCCGCCAGTTCCCGGCGTTCCGCGGCCGCGGCGGAGCTGGCGGTGGCTGCAGCTGCAGCTCCACGCTCCGCCCGCTCCTCCTGCCAGCCCGGCCGGCCCTGCAGCTCCGTGTGCGCCCCGCTTCCCTCCGCTCCACCCCGCTCCGTGCCCCTCCGGCCGGCCCTGCAGCTCCGTGTGCGCCCCGCTCCACCCCGCTCCGCGCCCCTCCGGCCGCCCCATGGAGCTGCTGTGCGTGGAGTCCGCGCCCCGCGTGCCCCGCGCCGGGCTGGACCCGCATCTGCTGGGGGACCGGCGGGTGCTGCAGAACCTGCTGAGCCTGGAGGAGCGCTACAGCCCGCGCGTCTCCTACTTCCAGTGCGTGCAGCGCGACATCCAGCCCTACATGCGGAGGATGTTGGCCTTCTGGATGCTGGAGGTACGGGAATCCGCCGCTATCCTCCACATGCCCGAGCTCCGGCTCGGCTGCGGGGGGCTCAGGGGGTGCAGGGGACGATGCAGGCGATGATCCGGCGCTGATGTCTCAAGTGTGGGGCGGTGGGGATGGAGGGTGAGGAAGGCGCTTTGCAGCGTGCTCGTTGAGTTTGGCCGTGCTGGAAGATGGGATTCCCCCSCGATCCCACAAGCAGCGCTCATTTCCGGAGCGAGAGACCCCCAAAAGCTCCGGGCAGGGTTTAACGGGGAAATAATAACGCTGCTATGCACTTCCCTAAATTGAAAATGAATGCGGCTCCCTGCGGGGTGGAGGTCGAGGTGGGGGATCTCACGGTGGGGTCGCAGGGAGGAGAATAAAGCAGAATTCTGCAGCGCTGGCTCCTGCCCGTGCTGCAGCCACTGCTGCAGGGAGCTGAAGAAATAATAAATTTCTTCATTTTAAACGCTTTTTTTTTTCCCCTTGCTGTTACTCTGCTCTTAAAATCCCCTTTTCAAGAAGGGTCGGTGGGCAAAATGTGGAATCCGCTCCTGTGGAGCCCTAAAGGCAGCGAGATGACACTTGGAGTTGTCACTGTCCCCATACGTGTCATTGTCCCCATACCGGGACAGCCCAGCAGGAGGAGGAGGTTTTTTTTTTTACTGCAAAACGAGGAGAAACCGCAATATTTTTATGGCTGTGTTGAAARAAGGAAGTTCAGTGTGACAAGTGGCGGGAGATAACAGCAGAGAGCTGAAATTCGGAGCTCCCGAGTGGCACAGGGAGGGGACACTCGGGGATGATTYGGGTGCTGCCCCCGATCCTCCCCGTGTCCCTGGGGTGCTCCGGGTGGAATTTCCATCTCCGCTTTCCAGCTGGAGCCACTCGTTCTCTCCCCAATCCCCCGGGACGGGAGGTGGCAGCTTTGCCTCCCAGCTGGCTGGATCCAAACCGGGGCCAAAGCGGCCAATTCCAGCCTTTTTTTCGTGCTCTCTTCCCACGGGAAGATAAAACCTCGACACCCCCGGCTGTGAAACAACAGTTCTGATCAAAACTCCCTTTCCTCCGCGGGGCCGGGCAGGTGTGCGAGGAGCAGAAATGCGAGGAGGAGGTTTTCCCTCTGGCCATGAACTACGTGGATCGCTACCTGTCCTCGGTGGCCGTGCAGAAGAGCCACCTGCAGCTGCTGGGCGCGGTGTGCATGCTGCTGGCCTCCAAACTGCGGGAAACCATGCCCCTGAGCGTGGAGAAACTCTGCATTTACACCGACAACTCGGTCACGCCGCAGGAGCTGCAGGTGACAGCGCCGTGTCCACTCCCGGGTCACCGCTGTTCTTGTTTTCTTATAAATTTCTCTTTTTTTCTCGCTCTGCTGGGGGAGGTTTTTCCCATCCTGGAATTGTCCCCTGCTGGTTGTGGGGAGGTTCCCAGTGTCACAGGGAGCTGTCACACTCAGCTGTCACACTCGGCTGTCACTCCAGTGACGTGTCAAAGGCTCCAGGCGCTGCAAAAATGGGAAAATGTGGGAGATTCGCTCCTACAGGAGCAGAAAAATGAGATTTTAAAGCAGCAGAATGGGATTTCTTAGCCGGGCTGAGGTCGTTTGGGAATCCTGAGGCTTCAGGGATTCTGAAGCAGTAGAATGGGTTGGGAAGGATTTCTAAGCYGGGCTGAGGTCGTTTGGGAATGTGGGAGATTCGTTCCTGCAGCATCAGAAAGAATGGGATTTTGGAGCAGCAGAATGGGATTTCTCAGTCACTTGGGAATGTGGGAAATTCGCTCCTACAGCAGCAGAAAAATGGGATTTTGGAGCAGCAGAATGGCATTTCTCAGTCACTTGGGAATGTGGGGGATTCGCTCCTGCAGCAGCAGAAAAATGGGATTTTAAAGCAGCAGAATGGGATTTCTTAGTGGGGCTGTGGTCGTTTGGGAATGTGAGAGATTCCCTCCTACACCAGCAGGAAAAGGGGATTTTAAAGCAGCAGAATGGGTCGGGAAGGATTTCTCAGACGGGCTGAAGTCGTTTGGGAATGTGGGGGATTCCCTCCCGCAGCAGAAAAACGGGATTTTAAAGCAGCAGGAAAACGGGATTTTAAAGCAGCAGAATGGGATTTCTCAGCTGAGCTGAGGTCACTTGGGAATGTGGGAGATTCCCTCCTGCAGCAGCAGAAAAATGGGATTTTGGAGCAGCAGAATGGGATTTCTCAGTCAATTGGGAATGTGGGGGATTCGCTCCTGCAGCAGCAGAAAAATGGGATTTTAAAGCAGCAGAATGGGATTTCTCAGCTGAGCTGAGGTCACTTGGGAATGTGGGAGATTCCCTCCTGCAGCAGCAGAAAAATGGGATTTTGGAGCAGCAGAATGGGATTTCTCAGTCAATTGGGAATGTGGGGGATTTGCTCCTGCAGCAGCAGGAAAAATCAGATTTCAGGTGCGGGGTGAAGCAGCAGAATGGGATCCCGGGCGGTGGGAATGGGTGAAATTGCAGCTCCATTTCCAGGGCTGCCCCATTTCCCCCAAAAATTCCATTCTGAGGCTCAGGAACGCTGAGAGTTCGCTGAGGCGCGACCCAAACCTGTGAGAAAACCCCTTTAAAACCCCTTTTCCTCAGGTCACCTCCCCTTGGTGACAAAACCWCCCTGGGGACCGTTGGCTCTGAGACCTTCTCGGGGTTACTCAGCTCCTGATTCACCTCTGGGTTTTTTTTTGGGGTGGCAGAATCTGAGTGTGACAGAACCCACAGCATTTCCAGGTGTGACCGGGACAGCTCTGAGATGAGTTTGGTTCTTTCCAGAGCTCGGTGTGAGCCTGGGGAAAATCCCCTCTGTTCCAGAACCTTCCCTTGGAGCTCTTGGTGGGTGTTGATGCCTTAATTAACCCTAATGAGGGAGGAAATTCTGGGTTTTTTT